ATAAAAAGCACTGCAATGGCTGTTAAAGAGAACCAGAGAACAGAGTGAACGTTGGAAGCACAGGCCGTAGCCTCCTGGATAACCTCAAGGCTTTGTTCCACATCTTTAATTTTTATAAGCACTTGTCATAAATAACAAGGCCTAAAAAATGTCTAAAGTGCTGCGGAGGTAGATCTGTAATGCCGCAAGGTGAACATTTCAAAAACATGAAGTCACCAGCTTTGGAAATAAGGAACAGTTTATTATACAAGCAGACAAAAGATGGATTATGTGCTGTAAATATTAAAGAGCCAAAAAAATGGAAATCATCTGATGTTTCCTGAATTGTCTACCCCTTGGGTGCCGGAGAGAGTCCATGCACAGATACTCAGAGGGTTAATTTAACTAGTAGGAAGAAAATTGGAGATTTAGGCAACATTAAATTAATAATTAAGGATGTTTAGAATACAATAAGGAATGAGAAGTATAAATAAATAATGTAAATGTTTAATAGAATTGCAGTTGCAAACAGCAGTGTAAGGAATGTCAATTATACAAATGTTGTGGAAATTGTTCTATTTCGCCATGCCAGTCCTGAAGGTGGTAATTTGCTGTTAACAGCAAGTTAAATATATTAAAACTAGTGTCTCTCTCTGTAACTCCACAGCTATCTGTAGATGTTGTTAACTGCTGGGAGAAGTTCCTGGGACATCAAGAGCTTTACTTTTCAGTCTGCTTCGATGCTTCTTCTCAACTGCGGAATCATTTACCCATACGACTGCTATCTTCCACTCTGTGTTGAAGAAATATTACAACTCAGTGTCAGTTCCTTCACTCCCACTAATCCATAAGAGCAGTGTAAAACTGAAAGGATTGGTGGTAAATGGAGTCATTACATTATAGACAGTTTGTGGCCTGCAGGATCCCAGGCATCACCAGTGATGGAGTTTATGTTTCCTACATACCTTTTCCTGTAGATCTTATGTTATTTACTAGTTCTGATTGGGTTTTTTCCAGACTTTGCATTCAACCTAATTCTAAAACTGGTTCAGAGTTATACTGTTGCTGACATGGCCTGTTTTAGACTAAGGAGATTCTGGTACGTGTTTACAAATTCTGCACAATGCTGCTCCAACTTACTTATCCTCCCTAATACACAAGTATGTCCCATCTACACCCTACCCTCTGCCGAAGACTTACGTCTAACCTCTGATGATCACCTTCGAGACTTCTCTAGGGCTGCACTTCTCCTGTAGAACTCCCTTCCCTTCTCCGTTAGACTTTCACCCAGTGTCCATTTCTTCAAAGAAATCATTGAAAACTCACTTCTTCAGGAAACCATATCAATTAAGCTGTTAACAGCTTTCCCTCCCACACAATGATTCCTCTCCTGCAACTGTCATATAAAAACAAAAATAAACAAATAAACAAACAAAAAAAAATGAGTCTATGGATAGATCATTTCGTACACACAATACGGTGTTAAAGACATCCATTGCATTTGATGCAAGATAATGCCTGTTCCCGTAGGAAAAGTGTATTTTATTAAGATTCTCTTTATGAAAACCTCAAAAGGGAGAGAGCAAGGGGGGCAGGTCCTGACAGCCTACCAGACAAGACACATGTGGCTGGAGCTCCTTTGGGAAAACCTTCTGTTAAGCCAAAAAATCGCTTTGCCTGGTGCATTACTAGCACAAAACTTACCTAACCTTTGAAGGGACACTCTACCGATTGCTGGACCAGCTTTTGCCTGATTTCTGTGTGTATAATATACATGTTCTTGCCGCCTGCTGAAGTACTGGAGGCAGATGATGTGGCCGATCTTCTGCCCCGGTGTAACGTTAGCCTTGTGCCTGAGCCCTGTTCGCCCCTCCCCCTCTTTGGACCAGTAGGGGACATCCCAGTCCCAACTGGCATGCCCCAGTAGCATCTTCAGCAAAGCACCAAAGTCACAATCGAACTGTGCTCTTCCCTTGCGGATCCCATTCTCTGTACAGTCGCATGATCCCTCGACTGACCAACGACTGGGATGATACTCCCCAACTGCCGACTGCTACTCAGCCCTGCAAGACGGGGTCTCCTCTGGGCATCCCTCGCATGGCATTGTGGTAGCGGAGACACAGGTGGAGACAGCAACAGGTATTTAAACCTCGACGGCCATTCTCCCATGGCGGCATGTACCTACCTTCATGGTGTGTTGTGCGAGAAAACACCTTACAGCACTACACACAGGGGCAGAGAACATCTAAGCCAGCAGTGGAGGAGATAAGGGTTACTCCGCTGGGAACCAACCATGGTCAGACCTCAGGATGCAATGTGCAGGGGTGTACTGTGGCTGGGACCCAGGAGGCTGCCCTTATAATTTTGTGTTCTATCAGGTTGTTTCCCCTCCCTCTGTGGGTATTGGTGGATTTGGCTCCAGTTCAGTTATACAGCAATGCTTATCTTATTTGCTTTCAAAAGTAAGATTTTATATTTTAATTGATCCAGTATACTCTTCAAGAACCGCATATGCTATAACCTAACCTTTATGTAATAGATCCCTAATCAATCACCTGAATATGGCTGCTACTGGGTGCCCTGTGTGTTTTGCCCAGTGGCGTACACATGACCCATGGGGCCCCGGTGCGAAAATTGATCCGTGGGCCCCCCCCCCGCGCGTGGGCCGGGCCGCAACACATGGCGGTGGGCACCTGGTCGCAGAGGTTACAGGGCTGCGACCGCGGTATGTACGCCAGTGCATGCAGATGCACACACACTTAAAGGACCACTCTAGGCACCCAGACCACTTCAACTTAATGAAGTGGTCTGGGTGCCAGGTCCAGCTAGGGTTAACCCATTTTTTCATAAACATAGCAGTTTCAGAGAAACTGCTATGTTTATGAATGGGTTAAGCCTTCCCCTATTTCCTCTAGTGGCTGTCTCATTGACAGCCACTAGAGGCGCTTGCGTGCTTCTCACTGTGGTTTTCACAGTGAGAGCACGCCAGCGTCCATAGGAAAGCATTATGAATGCTTTCCTATGTGACCGGCTGAATGCGCGCGCAGCTCTTGCCGCGCGTGCGCATACAGCCGACGGGGAGGAGAAGAGGAGGATCGGAGGAGGAGAGCTCTCCGCCCAGCGCTGGAAAAAGGTAAGTTTTACCCCTTTTCCCCTTTCCAGAGCTGGGCGGGAGGGGGCCCCTGAGGGTTTAAAGGACCACTACAGACACCCAGATCACATCAGCTCAATGAAGTTGTCTGGGTGTCAGGTCCCTCTAGTTTTAACCCTGCAGCTGAAAACATAGCAGTTTCAGAGAAACAGCTATGTTTCACTGAGGGTTAATCCAGCCTCTAGTGGCTGTCTCACTGACAGCCGCTAGAGGAGCACACCGAACGTCCATAGGAAAGCATTGAGTAATGCTTTCCTATGAGCGGTTTGAATGCGTACGCTGAGGCTGAGGGATCCCCAGCGCCAAGGGAGTCCGGCGCTGGAGAAAGGTAAGTGCTGAAGACACACACACACACACATACACACACTTACAGACGCATACACACTAGCTAACAGACACACATTTATTGACAGAGACACAGTCAGCGACAGACATACATACACACTCACTTACAAAACATACTCTCATTGACAAACACACACTCACTAACATACATCAAACAGACTCACTAACACACACACTCAGTAAGACACACACAGTAACACACTCACTAGCAGACACACTCACTAGCAGACACACACTAACACTCACACACACTCACACTGACACACACTCACTCACACTCACACTAACACACACTAACACTCACTAGCAGACACACACTAACACTCACTCTAACACTCACACACACTAACACTCACTAGCAGACACACTCACTAGCAGACACACTCACTAGCAGACACACACACTAGCAGACACACACTAACACTCACACTCACACACACTAACACACACTAACACTCACTAGCAGACACACACACTAACACTCACTCTAACACTCACACACACTAACACTCACTAGCAGACACACACACTAACACTCACACTAACACTGACACACACACTAACACTCACACACTCTAACACTCACTAGCAGACACACACTCACACACACTAACATTCACACTCACACTAACACTCACTCTAACACTCACACACACTAACACTCACTCTAACACTCACACACACTAACTAGCAGACACACACACTAACACTCACACACTAACTAGCAGACACACACACTAACACTAACACTCACACTCAAATACTAACACTAGTTTTTTTTTTTTTTTTAAATGTAATCCCCCCAGCCTCCTTACCTTTTGGAGTGCTGGGGGGATTCCCTGGGGTCCAGTGGTGCTGCTGATACCTGGCAGGCGGGTGGCCGGTCGGGCAGGCAGGCGGGCGCGCGAGGGAGCACTTTGTGCTTCCTCTTCAGCTCCCTCGCGCACCGCACTGATACCGGAGCCGGAAGATGACGTCAACATAGTGCAACTCCATATGTTACTATTATAAGGCTGATATGTGCCAATGCGTCACTCACACTTTGGCTGTTAAAACAGGGCGTATCAAAAATCAATGTGGCTCTCAATCCACAATCTGTCCAACGTGTTTCATCCCACTACAGGGACTTCCTCAGGGACTTTGCAGCAGTGTGACAGGTACAACAATGAATAAAAAACATTTCCCCTCCCTCTTAAATACACCCCACAATCAGCACATAAAGTCCTTTCATATGTTCCTCGATTGAGTTTCAGCTGCTCCCGCTTAGATTACAATCACTTCCTGGTTTCGGGTATATGACGTCATCACGTTCCGTTACGGACGTCGGACGTGCGTTCCACCAGATTTTTTCAATGGTGATATGATTCTTGCGTTCCACATGCAGTCCACCATAGCGGGACCATTTGAAATTGATGTATATACATGACATAGGTGTAGAGGGGGAATAAGAACATATATATAAGATACTTTAAAGCACACTTTCCCATTTAATCAGATAATTGTCACATATCTCCTCATGTTTATACAGTTTCAAAGTGCATTCCTCATGCACTATAGTTAATATATATATTTATAGTTAATATATATATATATATATATATATATATATATATATATATTAACTATAGTGCATGAGGAATGCACTTTGAAACTGTATAAACATGAGGAGATATGTGACAATTATCTGATTAAATCATCATTGTAATAGTATCATACGGAGTTGCACTATGTTATTTTTTATTCCCCTACAGTTGGATGGACCCAATATTTGTTTTGAATATTTTTATTGGTTTCATAACATAAATGCATGAATCAAACTGGTCTGTATTTAAGCACGTGATTGCCCACGCAGGGGCTTAGGCATTGGTTTAGTGTATCAAACTGATTTGCAATATATCTTGTCGTCGCCCTCGCAGGGGCTGAAGCATTTGTTTACACAGTATGCACCTTTGGTTGCCTTCGCAGAGGCAAATTGTAGCGGTACTTACCTTACCCGGGGGCCGGCCGAGGTCCTCTCTTTCCGCCGCGCGCGGCTCTTGAATGAAGTTGAATGGCCTCTGTCATCCCACATTCCCCAGACTCTCACATTTTGGGGGCGTGGATATGACAGGGGCCAATCAAAGTAAAGTTTAGGGTATTTATACTTACCTCTCCCTTAACTCCCTGCCCTATCGTGGTTTCTGTTTCAGTTCCCTTTAGTGTTTGTTGTGTTCAGTTGTGATTTTCATGCTTGACCTTGGCTTTGTATCTGACTCCGTTTATCTCTCTATCCCTGTTTTGTCTTGTTTGCCGGCTTACTGACTACTGTGTACCAGACCTTGGCTAGTTTTTGTTCTCACAGTCTCTTTGTTCCCTTGACCTCGGCTTGTTCTTGACTCTGTCTATTCTCTGCTATACGGCGAATCCGGCAATTCGAAGGTCCCGTAAGTCGTATCTTCTCTATCTGTCGATTGTTGGACTAAATCTTGCGTGTAGGGGTAAACTACCGTGACACAAATATGTCATAGCCAGTTTAACTTAACCTTTAGGTTCATAGTTGGGTATTTTGCGCTCTACACTCTAATAATCTGTGGTGCCTATTCGTTTTTGTTAAAGCTGTGGGTAAGCAGTGTTGTGCTCCTGCCCTTTGCTTGCTGCTTTGAGCTCTAGTGTGTTGTGTAGCTATTTGTTTGTGTGTTTTGGGGTTGTGTTGGCTATGTACGTTTCTTAGCTGTTCCCTCTGCTAGATATGTTAGAGCCGTTTGCGTTAGGTCTGTGTCTCTTCTATTGTATGTGTCTGTGGTTTTACCTGTGTTGTGTTGCTTCTCACCTGAGCTCTGTGTGTCTGCCTCTAGTGTTTGTCTTTGTGGCTCATGTTCTGGAGTCTTTTTCTGTGTGTACCTTCCATGTGGTCATGGTGTGGTCATGTTTAGGTGCATTCACTTGTGTAAATGGTTGTAGTGTTGTCCTGTGGGGTCTGGGATGGATCGTGTAGGTCGGTGTTTGGACTGTGGGTGTGTGTGGTGCGTGGGTTGTGTGGTTTCGCAACTCCTTTCGTTTCCTGCCTGGCTGCAGTGGCTGTCGGCTTCATGTTGTGACCGTCTGTGTGTTTGTATTGGGCCCGGTTTCATGTAGCGCAGTTTGTAGTCTCCGCGTTTTTGATATGTCTGTGGAAGCGTGCTCTCCGGTCGGATGTATTTTCCGTGTGTGCTCGGCGCGAGGCTGCTCATGTGTGGTGTGTGTTCTCTTGTATAAGTTACGGTCTGGCCTGTTCGCAGTCTCGCCTTCAGTAGTCCTTTGGATGTATATCTATAAGTATGGGCGGGTCGTGTCTTGTCTGGGCGTATGTGAGTTTTATGAGGGGGTGAAGGTGGGTGTATCCATCCCCTGTCGCCGTCCTGGTTTGCCTTTTGCCATCTCTTTATGTTGGTGCTGTATTTATTTTGGGTTAATACTCTCCTTCCCCGCCTACTGTGTCGCCATGCGGTTCTGAAAAGCGTCGGAGGCAGTCTAATCTAGTAAAACCAGCATTTAGTGTAGCGATCTCTGAGGTTCGGGGTGGTTGCCTTTATGTCTTCGAATTTCGTGGTTGCTTCTACCTCTTCCACCCATCTTGCGATGTCGGTATAAACATATCTGTGTGATGAAGGAGGAATGTTGCTGGGGATCTTGGGAGCATTCCATCTGTTATTTCGTGTATTACTTCTCTAATTGTGTTCCAGAACGGTCGGAGACATGGGCACGTCCACCAGGTGTGTATGAACGTGCCTCTCTCCTCCCCGCATCTCCAGCACATGTCTGGGATTTCCAAATTCCTGGCGTGGAGCGCTGTAGGTGTCAAGTACCATCTGGTGTATATTTTGTATGAGTTTTCTTGCAACCTAGCTGAGATAGGTGTTTTTCTGTATCACAGTGACGCTTTTGTCCCAGTCTGCTTCTGTCATGGGTTCGTCTAGGTCTTCCTCACAGTTTCTCATGCAGGGGGGTGCCAGTAGGTACCTACCCGTGACCAACATTGCATATATCTGCGAAATGGCAGTGGTGTTTCCTTATCTTGCGTACAGAGTAGTTCGAATTGCATAGGTTCTCTTAGCAATTATGTTTTTTGCTGGATGGACCGAGCATATCCGACTATTTGTGCTCTCGCCAGTGTGTGTGAAAAGGTAAGTGTCCTGTCCGGAAAGAGGTCAGTGATGGAGCGGACATTAAATGGTCGTTGGAGGACATCCATCATGCGGGGAGTTGCTGTGCATCCCGCCGGGCCTGGCGTGTGGCCGTGATATCCCGCTGGGAAGTCTGGGTTGCCTCTCAGCGGCAGTAGCGGGCCCGGGTCCGTTGTGAGGTATTGCTACGTGCCTTGCCTGTGCCAGATATTCATGGTCGCTGCCACAAATGGGTTGGTGATATGTTTATGCTTGTATGTGGCCCTGGCTATCCATGGCAGAGTTTGGAGGTCGCAGTTAGTGATGTCGGATTCTAGCTGGGTCCACGGTTTTGTTACGCTGGTGACTGACCAGCTGGAGACTCTGGTGAGGTGCGCAGCCTGGTAGTATTTTTCAAAATCGGGAGTGCCAGGCTTCCTCGGAGTTTAGGAAGTGTTAATTGATCGTGCGCTATGTGTGGGGATTTGCCCTTCCATATGAACGTGCGAACCTCTGCCCGTAGTGTCTTGAAGAAAGTTTGCGGAGCTAGTATCGGCACAGTTTGGAACACGAAGAGAAGTTTCGGTAGTAGCGTCATCTTGACGGCATTTACTCTGCCTAGCCACGACACGTAGAGGGAGCTCCATTTATTTAGTTCCTCCGTTGCTTTTTTTAGTGTAGGGAGGTAATTGTGGGTGTAGAGGTCTGCTGGGTTGGGTGTGAGCCATACCCCTAGGTACCTCATGCATTGGTCACACCAGCGGTATGGGTATTGTATTTGGAGTGTTTGTTTATGGGTGTGGTTGATGGTGAGGTTGAGAATCTCCAACTTAGAGTAATTTATTTGGAGGCTAGAGATCCGACCATATTCTTCGAACTCTGCCTGTATCGCTGGCAAGGTGGTCTATGGATGTGTTACTACAAACAGCATGTCGTCCGCACACGCTAGAGTTTTGTGTTGTGTTGTTCCAATTGTGAAGCCCTGTATGTTTATGTTCCGTCTGATCCTCCGCAGAAATGGCTCCAGCGTCAACGCGAAGATCAGGGGCGAGAGTGGACAGCCCTGTCTCGTTCCATTGTATATCCGGAACGGGTTCGTCAGTGCTCCGTTTATCCGGATTTGTGCCGTTGGACAGGTGTAAAGTGCCTGTATCCATGTAAGTTAGTTTGATCCCATCCCGAAGGCCTGGAGGGTCCCAAACATCATGTCCCAGTCCACCCTGTCGAACGCCTTTTCCGCGTCTGTCGACAGAAGGAGCGTCCGTGTCTTGTGTACTCTGGCGTGTGCTATGATGTTCAGGGCTCTGATGGAGTTGTCCCTCACCTCCCTGCCCGGGATAAACCCTGTCTGGTCTGGGTGGATCGCGGTAGTTTGGGCACAATGTCGGGTCTTTGCCCTCCTTTGGGAGCAGGGTAATGTTCGCTGAGGTGAACTGGGCTGATGGTGTAGCTCCGTCCTGGACGGAGTTCAGGGCTTTAAGTAGTTTTGGTTGAACCTCTTGTGTGGAGACGTTGTAGTATTGGAGGGGCAGTCCATCTGGTCCCGCTGCCTTGCCCGCTTTTGCTTTCTTGATGGCGTATGCCAATTATTCAGGTGTTATAGGCGCTTCCAGTGCCTCTCTGTCTGCTTCCGTTATTTCTGGTATGTTTACTGAGTCCAAGTATTTGCATATGTCTGCCGTTTTATGAGGTCTCTGGTTGTCCTGTGCTTCCTTGCGCAGGTGGTAAAGGTCTTGGTAGTACCGTTGGAACTCCATTGCTATTTGGTCAGGGAGGTGTCTGATTTATTGCTGTGCATTTTTTATTTTCATTATATACAGTTGTGTTCTAGAAAAAAAGAGAGAAAAACTGTGCTTTGGAGGCGCTTACAAATTATGAAAAGCAGTATATATAAAATGCTACAACACTCTTGTGGGGGTCCCCCACACCCACCTCAAATTGAAAGAATTATAGAAAAAGGTAAAGAGACCAAAAGCAATTCACCTAAATGAGTGGAGCATAAAGTGATAATCGCAGGCACCTACCCAACTTAAAGGGTCATCTGGTCCTAATGTTGTAAAGATCACTTGCAATTTCGATACATACACAATAAAGAGAAAAACACATACAAAACAATAGTGTAAATCTGTATAACCTTATAAAAATTATATATTGATCTTGAGAAGTGCCAACTCACGTTTTACAGAGCCTAGATAAGGATAGGCTCAGGTCACTTGCGCTTTGCGGTACCGTCTGGTGGTACTGTCCCTTTTCTTACGAACACGTAGACAAATTTCCTCAGGAATAAAATCTTGTTTTGAGCCCCAATATTGGCTCTATTTTTCCAGCATTAGTGTCAAACTAAGGGGGACACCAACCCTTCTTGGAGCAGCTTCAATGGAGGTAATTAGGAACTTTTAGTGAAAAAGATAATAATTTATTATGCCCACTGACAAGAGAGTGTAAAATATAAAAAATTAATTAAACAAGAAAATAAAAATAGAATAAAAAAATGTCCCATAAATGTCCTCCTCTTTCCGAGACGCGTTTCGCC